TTTCCCTACTAATTGAAGGTTGCAAAGCTCTGGTGCCAAGGTTTTGCTTCCAAAGAGCTAATTTATGACTAGAAGGATATTTTATGTCTTCAGATGCAGCAGCTACAAAACTCAGCAAATCAGAACCATCTGTGCACTGATACTTGAATCACCATTCATCCAGCAGCCTATCAGTCACATTAGTTTCCATCCTGCATTCTTGGCTCACGTACACTTGTGATGGTCCAAAGTTCACCAGAAATATTAAAAATGAATGGTACCCTGACCCTGCCTTATTGCACACGCATCAGAGACAGAAATGGGGCTTTTGCATACAGGGAGTTTCGAGGCAGAGGTATGATGGGACTGACATTTCCCAGCAAGTCCAGTAAGACTGCTAATTACCTGTCTCTACTTACTAAAACGTGGCTTTATTAACTCTGTATAGTTCCAGACTTAAAAGTACAAAAGGAACATAGAATATTATAGCTGTCAGTGTTAAAATTCTCTGTTAGTGCATCACATAGCACTGCATACCAGTAACACAGTTAAACCCCAGGATAATACCTCCTCCACATTAGTGGCTGCAGGAGTGTAAAGGCAAATGATAGAGACAAGTTTGAAAGTGAGAAAATGAATTAAATACTTTCACTAACAAAGGTAACTTTGCTTTTTATCTGGAATGAAGAAAAAACCTGACATTCAGTCTTGTCTTCAAGATGTTAGTGAACAAAGTCCTTGACTTCCCCATTATCCTGAAAGTAAATAATTCTCCCCCACAGACCCACTGCTTTGAAGTGGTAGGCTGTAGGTCAAAAGGACTCATGACAGTTCTTCCTCCTTAAGGGTTGACATCCCACTTTTAAGCAAAGCCAGGGGAAACAGGAATTAACAAACACGATGTATCTAAGGCAAAAGAACTGCTGTGTCAGTCTCATTTTGAGATCCTAAACTATTTCCTCTTCTACAAAAGAAAAGGCAACAATCAAGCAGGAGATGTCAGAAATGATCCCACAACTGTCTGACTTACTCTGGAGATTTTAGCAGCACGGTGGTTTTGTGCACATGCTGCGGCAGCAAATTCCAGAGGGCCATCATAGCGAGTTCCACTTGACTTTAGCCCATCCAGCAGGATTTTCTTCAGCTCTTGATACTTTGGCTTCTCATCATAAGCTAAGCCAGAAACGCATGCCAAAAACTTGGATATCTCACCTGTGGGGTATATTTTAAGGTAGATTTCACTTGGTGCAGTCCTAGAACTTCAGAAAGAATTTAATTCCATAATGGATACCAATCCTATACGGTCAAACAAGATGAGACAATTTCAGCTGAAGACACACTCAAACACAGAACTGACAGTATCTTGTCATTTTGACATGAGAGAAGGAAAAGATGGACTTGGACAGACAAGCTAACCCTTAAGTCCTAGGTCTTGTTATGCATGTGCACTAATTTGTGTAGTACTGGAAGCTATTTTTAATCAAAATTAATCAAAAGTTTATTGACAAATATTGATAGAATAGATCTGTGTAAAACAGAAGTAGAACACAATAGCCTTTTAAGTATTAACTACTGTTAAGAACATTATTTTAATCTGCATATACATGTGTAATACTTTGAATTCACCGGAAAAAAACTTTTTTTTACTTCTAATACTTGGACAAATATTGTTTTTGAAATTACAGCTTAAACAGTCTAACTCCAGCATTACTTTGCTATCATATTATTTGCTATTTGCTATATTTGCTATTATCAAGTGGTTCTAGAAGCAGGGGGACAGAGAATGGCAGAAATAATTTTATCAGGAAAAACATGGGGGGGTGTCAAACTTCTCTTTCAATTAAGACCCAAGTACATTGTATCTGATAGAATTCCAGACGTAAAGATTTACTAAATACATATACACATCATGTAATATATTTCATGTAACATATGACGCATTCCAATAATTCAAATACAGAAATGTTATGAAAGCAAGTGAATAAATCAAACATAGACACTGACCTTTGAAGGAAGTTTGGTGTTTTCACTGGGTTACTTTTGTACTTCAGTGAAGGAAGAAACATATGACAAGACAAATTGTCCATTTGTTTGCTTTTTCAAAATCTGCATATGAAGCACTACACCTTTTGCAGACAGTTGCTTACTATTTCCATACCAACAGCTACTTCTGTTTCTAAGACAGTCATAGCTCCCAAACACCTTGCATTACATATGGTGAAGATCCTTTATGCCACTTGATGGCATCCAGCACAGATGAGACTGATCAAGATTTTGGTACCACCACAAACCAGGGCTGAAAATTTGCCCCTCCACATCTATATAATCTTTTTAGTGCTTGTTTATGCATTAATGCAGGAAAACAGCAGAACAAAAATAGTTTTGCAATGAAACTATTAACTTTCCCAAGTATCCTGTATCAGTAAGCACCAAGAGTCATTTACAGCAGTGACCAACACTGGACAGCATACAGAAATTTACCTTTTCCCCTTGCTGTAAAGGAGTCTTTGAGCTAAAAATGCTTCAAATACAATAAGCTGGTACATGAAGGGCCTGATCGAGTTCCACTGAAGTCAGAAATATTAGTTCAATTAAATTGCACCCTAAATTAGTGAGTGTGACATACAATCTAACAATGAATACTATACAACTGCTATGTTACCAGCTACACGCAGATCTTACATGCTGAATTCTGCTGCTGGACAGTGATGTGTAAGAGTGGTTCCTTCAGCCTTTATTCTAACAGGTTGATTCAAGGATGACCTCTGCTTGCATACTAGCTTACCCTAAGACCAGAGCCTCGTAATACTGCATGGACTCAGACCTGCTGAAGGCATCTACCTTAAAGTCTAAAAATTCGCAATTACATTTAGGATTTTAAATTGAAGGCTTTGTTAAATTTGTGTTGCTTTTACACTGCTTTGCCCAAAGAGACTAAGACATTTAAGTATTTTCTGTAATGGACTAAAGAGCTACACAGTACATACTGTATACACACTTACTACAGCTGCTTCCAGAAGAATTCCATTCCATCACTGAATCTGGGAGCTCATCCATAAGTCTGAAACAACATGAGAGTACAACAATTTAATGTGGGTTTGTAACAGGTGATTCTTCATTTGGGATTTAAGAAGACAGCAAGTCTCAATTCCAAACAGAGTGGACCTCCAGGATAGCTAATGATTCACAGTGCTGCTTTTAAAACAAAATCTCTTACTAGCTACGTTTTTAACTCTTTGGATACTGCTGATTTCTGCAAGACCAGGTTTACACCTACAACTGCACTTTAAGTTTATCTGTGCAGATGTTTTTAACTTTCTAGAAAGAAAAATCCTTTGAGCTGATATGTTTTGTTCTGATTTCAGTTTAATGTCTAATATTTCTATTTTGGAATTTAAGAAGCAGTTCCAGTCTGCCTACTAGACATTTAGCATCAGGTTCTTTCTGCCATGTAGTAGAGGGGCAGTTGGGTGATGGCGGTTACACTTACAAGCAGGCACAAAAGGTGGGAGTCCCATGCACTTCATAAACTGAAGGGCAGGGTCATGGCTGTACTTTCTATCCACCTAGAAACAGTAAAGGACACTGGAGATCAGAATCAATCATACCGTAAAAACAGAGGAAGCAGCACCAGCTCTCATCTTTGTGCAGGCATGAATCCAGGATGACTTCCAGCACCTCTAGGAACCTGCAGCTGCACAAGACCCCTTGCTCTAAGTGAGTGAAATCTATTACTTTAATCAAGCTGTTAATGCTCTTAAGGGATCCCCCTTTTTTTGTTGTTGTTGGTTTGTTTAAAGGAGCCATAAAGGTCCACCAACAGGTAACAGGAGATGTTCTCAAATGCATAATGTTGGGATACACAGGCTAATAACCTTCAAGTCTATAATCTGGTGTTTAGTATCAAGATAAAGGGGTTTCAATTTTGAGCAAATGAAACCTGTAGCCTAGCTTGAATTCTAATTAAAATTCCTCCAATTATAGCACAGCATAAAAGTTTCTAAATTTGAATACACCTTAAAGATCCCCTTACCAATGTCCAGCACTTTGGCACAGTTGCTTAAGAATTAGTGGGAGGAAAGTGGAGGGATGACAGGATGAGAAAAGTGGTGAACAACAGAGTTTGAGGTCCTGTCCTGGCCCCTGCCTTTCAACTGCACCCCACCTTCCAGGGCCAGCTCCTTCCTCCTCTCCATCACACAGACGCCACAGCAGAGGACAGGCATGCTCAGAAGTGATTTAAGTCTGCTGGTAATGTGCTTATTAATAACTTAGAAGCAAGTGGACATGCACATATCTCTGGCCTTTTAAAACAGTGTAGACACTGAAAACCACAATAAATGAGATGACCTGGGCAAGTTACCTAACACCAACAATGCAATTTATTACACTAATAGGAAATTCTGTAAAAATGGAATCTGTATTATTTTCTGTGCATTTCCTCTAAGCATCTGTTTGCTGGCCATATTGACAATGCCAGCAATCCAAGGGTTAACTGCAAGGGATGAATTAGTGGAGAAGCTTGATTGATTAAATTGATTTAACATTGAATTGTATAAGTGTTACCTTGCAGGGGGTTGTGTAATGATCAGAACTTCTAAAGGAGAAATATTAAACCTAACGTGCGATGTCAACATTTACAGATGTAATCTGTATTATCCTCAGTCTGCAGGCTAACCTTTTTCTCTGTTGAGAGCCAATGCCACAGTGAATTTGCAGATTGATTTCTGTGGCTCAGCTATCCCTATTGTGTACCTCTGTTGTGACTTGCCCTACTTAAAAGTTTGCTGCTTTCTCCAATTGTGTTGGTACATTTATGGGTAACTACTCCCCTGTACAGCCTTCTATGGGCTACACTGGACCACATGCAATTAACTATCTCAAGTCCCAGCTGTGAAAGCAGAGAAAGAAAACACTAATACACTGTTGCTTTAGTAAGCTCTAAATGAGTAATGCTGGGAAAAAGAAAATATGTTAATCAAGTTCTTTAGTATTTTGGTATTTAATTGTTTGCAATGGTAGTAGGCTTATATAACATTAAAAACCTACATAAAAGCATCTGAGAAATGGTATATATAGAAAGTTAAATAAATTGAATGCACATGTGGAAAAACTTCCAAGAGATGTTTGTACTACAGTCCCTACAAAGCATGCATGAACATAACAGAAACGCACAACAACCTTCTGTATGTGCAATAAGGCCTGCACTAATTAAAAAAATGTTTTCTTTAAAAAGAGAGTACTCAAAATACACAGCTAACAAAATGACTGTGTACTGTGAGTCTGAATTTAGCACATATCTACGGTAGTACATACATAAACATGTGGAAGAGGGTATATATGCACACAGTTCATGTTTTTAACTACTTCTAACACCTCTTGATTAAAGGAAATTGTTTTCACTTGCTCGTAAGATGCTGTTCTACAGGATGTAAAGCTGTCGTCTTCAGATCTGCTTTGTTAAGTAATGAGGATGTTCCAGGGTGGTTTGCATGTGTGTTCATGTGTGTGTCGTTTAATTTTTACTTTGTTTTCGCAGTCTGGACAGCTACAGGGTCCTTCAGGTTCTGTTCCCAAGGCAGCTTCCCACATAACCATTGCAGCATGCAGTAGCCAAGGATTTCAAGGTCACCTCGTCTGGATGGGGCTAAAAATTGGGGAGAGGGGGGCAAAGAGGAGAGAAAAAAAAAAAAAAGGATAAAGAATAAGAACCTCTTCTTAGGAAACAGAAAATACTTTGATTGAACTACTGTTGATGAAATATGAAAAAGCCAAATGGGCAAAGTGTTTTGTTTATTCAGCTGTATTAGACCCAAAACAGCCCGGTATTTGGCCACAGTCCACAGACAGGCAGTGACTTGTTACTGTTGAAGTAAGGGTCAGTTTCCTCACCTCCTCCAACTTCATCCTTCCTCAGTCTGGCCTGTCACATGGACTTGATCCCCATGGCCTCTGACATGATCCAGACAGCCCATAACTGAGTACCAACACTTTCTCAAAGAGCCAAGCAGTAAAACAAAGAAATAAATGTCTGCTGCTAAATTGCTAACACATGTTCCAGGAAGTCCATGGGGTCCACATTGGTCATGCAGGGACCCTGTGAGCGCAGACTAAACACTGATGGCCTTTCCTGTTCTCCTGCTGAGGTATTTGAACTTGGAAGATATGACAAAACTGCCACCTAGTGTACACTTATGCAGCAGAGCTGTCTGCTTATAAGTACCACAAATTGTTTGTTTAGAAAGTCGTAGCACAAGCTAAAATACACTTGCTGTTTTGCAAGTCCTGTGTAAACTCACCACTACTGCTTCAAAAAGGAATTACATCAGGAACAACTTACACTCACTCTGCACACCCCAGGTACACTAACTACACTAAACAAATACAGTAGATACAATTCAATAAAAAATGAACTCCATCCCCAAATATCTTTTATGCAGAAAAACAGGTAACTGAAGTTCAACCTATAGATTGACTTTTCCAGGAGAAGTGGGGGGGAATGCAATACTAATAGAATTGCTATTGCTTGCTGCTAGTCAGAGGAAATAAAACTTGAACAAGCTGGATTGTTGCAGTATTTCTTTGCACACATTTAACTTGCAGACTATAGTTTGCAAGTCAAGACCACATGGAATCTGCAAAACCAGAAACTGTTAATCCTGATTAAAGAAAGACAGATGTAGAAGTTATCGATTTATGCTTTCCAAAATTAATTTGCACTTTCCAGCAATGAAAGATTTTGGATTTGTTCAGTACTTCTTGTCTAGGGTAAAGCCTAGTAGTTGAGTATAGTGCTGCTAATCCAGCTGTAAACAGATATCATATTTTATGGGCCTTCATTAAATAAATTCCAGAAAGTCACTCAGCAAACTTGCCTTTTAATTTAAAAAGTCATCTGCTAAAAGCTACGGTGCCAACACATCATAACTGTCTCTTGTTACCCTATACACATTATTGTAAAAGCAGAAGATTATTCTCTACATTCTCTATTTTAACTGCTATTAGACTATGGGATTATTAAAGGCCCTTCAATCTATCTGAAACTACACTATCCCTTGGGTGCCATTTATTTTCTGCAGTAGATTCAGCAACATCCTAATGCAAGACTTGGCTCTCATATTAAAATAAAAACACAAGCTCTACCACTTGCTGTTCTGTAGTGATTTCTTCAGCCATAAATCTGCTGTTAACTGTGGAACAATTCCATTCATACACGTGTTCACAACTCCTTTTTCCATTATGGCAATTCCAGATTATAACCATAAAAACTAGCATTTTTGATTGCAGATCCTCTAATTTTCACACTATGCTCTTCTGGCACCTGTTTCTATAAGATGGGCTACAGAAAGCGGCCTTCTGAGAAAAGCTGTCAAAATTAAAATGCACAATTTTTTTTTCCACTGAGGGATTGATAGGAATCTGTAAATAATGCAACCAATTCTATTTCAGAAGGTAACTTAAGATAACTAATTTTCTGACAAAACAGTCCCCAGAGAGTACAGTTTACTTCACAGTTAACAGTTTGGCCATGACTAACTACCTTCTCACTCACATGGAGATCTTCCAGCCATTTCCTGACTAAGGTTAGGGCAAAGCCGCCACAAACAGGGACAACTTTACTAATAACTTCCCCTAAAACCAGAGTAGTCAGCTGGGGAGTTGGGGAGGGGGGGGAGAAAAAGGTATACGTAACTAAGCCATACATCACTGAAAAATAGAAGGGGAAATGTTTTACAGAGAGATGGTAAACTCCCAGTTCACTTTATCTCCCAGGTCACTGCAAGTGTTACTACACAAAGACATTTACATGTGCTTTTCATAGAACCACATGAAAATGTCATTTGATTATTTCACCGTAGTAGCTTGTTCTCTCTCTGCTCCTTCGTCAGCTCGGTTGAAGAGATAACTTCCACAACTTTTTAAATAATTTAGATCCTTTAAAAAAATTATTTCACTAACTAATCTTTAATGAATGAATATTATCTATGAACAATGAAATAATTAGATTTTCGCCCCAAATACAGCACTAATACATAAATAATAAACTATATGTTTACTTGCAGAAATAAATTTCCTCATACAATTGGAGATTAGAAGAATTCTTGATAAACATCAACTGAGAGGAGTCAATCTGGCTTCATTTAAAAAATGTGAAAGCCACGCACAATAAAACAATGCTGCTTGTCACTGTTACAAGAGTATACATTCAAAATAGTACTTATTTAAACCAAACTATCTTACTTCTCTGTAGACTAAAATCTTGGGGTATTTTTCCTTTCTTTTTTAATAGATATTTGATTCCTGCTTTTCTATTAACCAGGAATTGTTTTATTATTATTTTAGTCTCATATGAAATATTATTTAATGGGAATATGTTGGCAATTCTTTATTTAGCAGTATTTTTATAGTTTAATTTTTTAATTTTGAAGATTTAAGGCCTGATTCTGTCCCTATTCCTGCCAACATAAATCAGGAACAACTCCACTGAATTTAATGAATTAACAACCATGTCAATGAAATCAGAGTCAGGCCATAAGAAGTTTTATATACATCACAAACATATACTCAACATGTAGTCACAGGGTTCAATGACAACTCAGAATAACGTAACTGAAGCAATTCACCTCAAGAAGCAAATATATTATGTATCTCTGTATACTGGATTTGGCAGCTACATGAGCCCTAATTTATATTCAGATTATTATTTCAAAAAAGAACATAAATTATATCACACCAGCTACAATATGCTCTCAAAAATACACTGCTCCCAAGAACTCAGCTGAAACCCACGTGAAAAGGGAAGTTTTCCTCTATGGCCATTATTAAGCTAAATTTCTCAAGCCTTTTGTAAAGATCTAGGCAGCTAGTAAGTGACAGATGAAATGTTCTTCTATTATTTTTAATTAGCACTGTTACATTATAATTTTACTAATAATGTCTCTTTAGATTGCAAGCTTTTCATAAAAAGGATCATTTTAGTAGCTCATATTGCATCTACATGCAATGGAACCTCCAAATCTCACTGGCATTACAGAATAGAGATTCATGTTAATTCACAAACAAATAAAGGAAAAGTGTATTAACATGACCATGCAGAAATATAATTATGTCAAAAATGTGTCATCAAAATTTTGTAAGAAGTGAACTAAAAGTGACATAACTTTTTAACTCGAGATGATTGTAAAAAAAATCAAACAAGACTTGTCAAAAATCAGTGCCTGTATTAGGGGCAGGAAAAGACAAAAAAATGCTAATAATCAAGTATTCGCTCCCCAAGGTACTGGTCAGTCTGAGCAGTTCACTGCAGCACATTAGTGACTAACTCAATGAGTGGGTGGCTACAGGAGGAGATTAGATTAATACAGTTAAATTTTCAAAGTTTGGTAAATTTCAATGCTTAGAGGCCATTCTGTACAGAGTTATGCAATCCTGAGTGGGGCAACTGAAGCAGAAGCTGGAAACAACCTCTCTCCTCATGTACAGTTCCGTACTGTTAGTTTGCTGAGGTACTCAATGACAATAATCACCACCATGGAATACTGGAAAGCAAAATAAATCCAGAGCAAACATAGTGTCACCACAACTGTGCTACAGCTCTTCTAGATAATTCATTCTGGGACACAGCAATGAGCAACTTTTCCTCTGCCAGCTATAGTGTCTCTCCTAAACTCAGATCCTGCAGCTATACACTTCACTGATCATATGGCTGATGGGCACAAAACATTCACCAGACCTGGCAGAAGTTCCCATAGTTGTTCATAAGGAGATACAACCATGTTTTCTCCAGCACTGTCCTCACCTTGGGTGGCCACAAAGGTGCCATGCTGCCAGTATCAGCCTCATGGTCTGACGGCTCACGTCCCCTCAAAGGCAGCATCAAAGCTGGTGACCAGCACTGTCCCATCAGTTACGGGATTAAGTCCCAGTGCAGCAGTTTAGTAACTTGCTTCAAGACCCACAAAAGCAGCAACACTACAGTTGTTCTCCTGCCGCAGCCAAGCTAATGAGCACACTGTGAGCCAGAAGGTCTTGCTGGCCAGAAGTTCCCAAATTATGATCCTCAAAGCTCTTAAAAATGGCAGAGCTTTCCTGGACAATCACAGCAGCCTAATGTGCAGGCACGTGCACAGCAATCTCCAAACAAGCAGATACATACGTCCACTGACGGCAGGATTTAACTAAAGAGCCTTCTTGGTTTTGCACCTGCTCTGCTGCATCCATAATAGAAAACTGCAGTCAGCAGCAGGATTATCCTCTAAACATGGACAGAGAGTGAATAATCATTAGGACTGGTGAAATGAGATGTGCTGAAAGAAAGAGGGTTGTGGAAAGATGTTTATGTTGTGGGAAAGCTGCAAGCTGCAAGAGAACTTCACCACAAGATCTGGGCGGGAGATAAAATGGTGGTGGCAAGAGATGTAAGTACCTGGTCAGAAGTTAAAAAGTTCCAAGTTTGCAGTAAGGAGAACGCGTAGCAGGAGAGTAGGGACAGGAAGTTTTACTCCTCTTTCACATCTATGTGGCAGAAAAAAATTACAAAGGTGAGGGGCTGACAAGCAGCCGTGAGATTCATTAATTTTCTGAACTCCTGGTGTAGAGAATGAGAGCCAAAATTAAACAGCCAATTCGCAGCCACACTCATCAGTTGTGATGCTCATTATCTTATTTTGCTGCTTCTGGACATTCTTGGAGGCAGTTATAGGCACCTTTTCAATCTTTTCCTTGCTAAAGCCTGACTTCTTTTGCATACAATGACCTCCAGCTTCCTCTTTTGCTGGGCACATATTTCTAATCCAACACTCAGAAACTAAACACTTTATTTCACACTGCAAAGTTCCACCCATTTTTTGCCAGACCAGTTACATATTCCTTTAGTTTTTAGGATTTACAATTTGTCCTGCACACAGTCTTTGAGAACACATACCAAACTGCAGCAAATCAATAATTCATTTGACCAAATAAAAAATCCAGCAGGCTCCCTCTGATTCCTAACTATATATGGACAGATGCCAAATAAGCCTCTTGATCCAGAGCCATTTAGAGCTCTGTTCTCTGGAAGCCACACAGGCTCAGAAAGAATATGTTTCCAAGCATACGTGTTTATATCCTTCCTCACAAAATGAACCCTGCATATATTCTAGTCAACCCCTGCATGCAAAAGAAAAGGGAAAATGGACAAGCATTGAGCTATGTTTTTAATATCAAACAGCAACACTTCCATCAGAGCAGTGTGGAAAATAGAAGTGCAGAGATTTCCCTA